GGGGGGGGGGGGGGGGGGGGGGGGGGGGGGGGGGGGGGGGGGGGTGAGTGGGTTTGCTGAGGGCAGGCAGGCATATGTACTACAGATCAAAGTTGAATGAAATCTCAAGCAATTAAAGATTGACTCTACTTGTACTAGTTGAAACACTCGGCTTAAGACTTGTCCAGTTTTCAGGTAACATGCATACAATATCAACCACGAAACACCGAGAAGACGCGATAGCTAAGTATTTTGACGAACTTCAAAGTGTGTGGAAATGTGGTCAAACACTGTCTCGAGTGTTTGATATATCTTCCCAATCGAAATTAACACTGAGGAGAAAACGGAGCAATAAAATCGTAAATATATATGGTGATTAAGATCAGTTATTCAAACACCGTTACGGTCAGGATTTCCTTCCTTTAAACTTGATGAATTATTAATGAGTTTGAGGAAGAATTGTCAATTGTTTCTCCTAGTGTGGATTTTTAATTTAACTGGCTCGTATTCATATGGTTATCAATGTTCACACGTCTTTATCTTCTCTCGATCACTCGCTTTAAAAACGTCGATCGACGGATGCTAAAGTCACCTATTCATCTCACATACTCCGAACTTGTTATGTCCAAAAACCACAAACCGACAAGTATTTCACTCGAAACTAACTGGTACAAAAGCGAAAAAAGAGAAGCGAAAAAGAGAAACACTTGCATGAAAAACGCAAGCCTGAATACCCCATTCCCTTTATGAGACAAGCGCTTAGGGAATCGTGGTAGTTGTATGCTATGTCGCGTGCCAAGTCCCGAAGATGTCGTGGGCATGATGCATACACTGAACTACCATGATTCCCTGCGCGTACGTCTCATGGGAGGAATGGCCCATTCCAATCAAGACAGCTGTGAACGTCTCAAAGTTTCGAAAGCCTCCACTTTCAACCCAGACGTTAAGACGGAGGCATCCAATTAAGCGTTTTACTACGAATATGTATTAGAGAATTCAATAACTGTCATCTCCCTTGTAGTCTTGCGCGTGTCGTCGTTATGGTTGGGAGTCTTAATTTGCGATACTGAACCGTCTCTCCTCTGAGTCTCGTCATAGTCCATCGTTTGTTATGTTTACCATGATGTTCCAGCGCTAAATATCATAACTGTGGAACCAATCATCACAATCACGAATAAATACAGGAAGAAATTGTCCAGAATCTCCGCAACTAGCACCCACTCCTCCCTTTTAGCGTCATGCTCGTCCTGTTCTTCCACAGCTCTCACCAGTTTCCTCACATAGCTCACTAAATGTTCCTGTTGGTGTAGCAGTGCACTGATGAGCGAGTTCTGAGACTGCGCGTTGACGTTTAGGTCTTTTTCGTAAATGGGATTCTCGCACCAGGACTCTCTCCTCAGCGACGTCCGGGAAGGAACTCTACTGAGATTCCTGGAGTTGAGTCCATGCCCTAAGTGAAGCATATCCACGGTCAGGTCATGACAAGCACCGCATTTTGGTATATTACTACTTTCAGCTAAATTAATGTTTGCTTCTGTGTTTCTCCGGCTTGAGAAGTTTTCATGATAAAAGTTGAATTTTGGGTCCAGTGAATCCGTCATGGAACGAGGACGAGCTTTTTTCTTCTGTTCATCTGCTGAATTTTCTTTTTTCCGAGTTTGGTGCTGTTTTCTTTTCACCTCAATCTTCAACAGCTTGCCTAATCCTTGAATAACCACGCAACGGATCCAGAAAGGAACTTCTGAGAAAGCCGGGTTAGTGAAGTAGCACTTTAAGACTACAACAGTGGCAATTAATGACAAGCCGACCTGTGGAAAAAATAAGAGTAGTTAATTCAGAGTTTTGGAAGATGGTAGCAAAGTTCCTGGCAATCGGTACGGACACTAGTATTAATGAATCACTCAGATCATTAGGAAAAATAGTCAATCCGTGCAACTTATTTAGCATTGCTATCACAAGTATTCACTTTAACTCAAGATTGACCCTAATCATATCTGGCCAATACCTAGTACCTAGTACTGCCAAAGTTTACAGAAACTTCCGTGGGGATTTCCACGATAATTTTTTGAAAGGTCAACTGACATGAGACTGATGAATCTACAGCCATCCTTTATCTGTAAAATGAAAATTTCCGTCGATCGGAAGTTAAATCCATCATTCGTGACACGAACAGCCTCCACACTTCAGCTACGAACCGACGAATTCCCTTGATAATCCCTCTGGTTACAAAAATCCTGTGAGCCCCTGTAGCAAATCAGTTACATCACATTTTGTATCATTACTGTTAACCTATGAAGGCCCATCGTCGGGTTACTCCCAGCATAAAATTTTCCGGTGCCCGCTTATAAACCAGGATGGAGACAGGTAATATGAGAGTAAAGTTTACTGCCTGAGAACACAACACAACGTCCCCGGTCATAGCTCGAACCCGGATAGCTTGATCCGGAGTTCAGCACGCTGCATGACCATTAGGCCACTGCTCTTCTACATCTATCACGAGTACTAACACGTAGTGTATCTGCTTACCTCTATCAAAATACTGGTAAAGTAAACACTAATCAGCGGTACTACTTCAGATGTTTGCGGCAAGATGTCTGCCACAATCAGCATGAACACTGTCAGGGCTAGCATATTAGTTATTACAAGAGTTATTCTCTCCCCAGCCTCTGACGGTAGGAAGAACGAGAGCAGGGACAAAACTGAAAAATAACGGAGCACATTAGATTTCAGGAATAAAACTTCACGGAATTAATGATGGTCACTCCATTATTGTAAAGAAAACTCGGCAAAATAGAGATACGGTGGTGTGGCATGCTAATTATCTTCAATTCAATTCAGTTCTCTTGATCAACTGGTCTGAAATGGCGATGAACAAGCAATATTTTTCAATTTTAGAAGGTTGGCACATGAAGGAGAGGTTTCTCAATTTTCACTTTCTCTAGCGTGAAAATTAAATCTCTATAATGCTAAGCAAAACTAACCAAGTACCTTCTCTTCACCATTTAAAATTACTTTTCCCATCCCGTTTTCAAACTTTTAGTAATTTGTCAGTGCACGTAGTGGTAAACATGATCTAACCTAGCCAGACCCTAGCATTCAAAATACCAACTCCTGGAGATATCTGTTCCCATGCCGATCCCTCACTAAATGTGTGGGTTGCACTTGCTGGGAGGTTGAATCTTGTTTAATTTTCTGAATTTCCTCACCTAAGTTGTAAATATGGCCCTGGAACCACACCCATCTGCTCAGGATCCCCCTCCCCAGCCCCTCGGAAGGTTTAGATAAAGTCCTGGGACTATTATGCCCAAGTGTTATTCTTTTAGTGTGTGTAAATTTGGAGGGAAGCAGCAGAAGTTCAGGCAATTCTACTGGGAAAAGGGAGCAGACCAAAAATGTGTCAGCAACAAGAAAAGCAATGCTTTCAAAATGTTCATTTGTTGGTTTCTTTAGGCTAATACTTTTATATCCTCCAAACAATTAGAAAAATGGTAGCTGTTCCAGATCAAAGTGTTTTTTTTTTTTCTGTAACTCTGTGTATAGCCTTTTATAACAGGCAATTGAAAGTACAGCCAATCAGAATACAGGAAAGCCGTTGTAAATATTCGTCGGTATTATATCTAACCTTCCCATCATGCGCCACGGGTATGTGGCATTGATTGTGTTGGTCACTGTATTTTCTATGTCATGGTATAAAATAGTTATACAACGCTCTTTCGTGCTATACCATGGAATAACTCACTTGTCACTTGTGTTTTCTAGGTATATATCGAGAAAATACAAGTGAGTCATGAGATATTCTATGGTCTACCACTTGAAAACGTTGCATAACTAGTACATATACGGTAGCGTTTCTACGAGTACGCCAACACCTTCGCTGAGATTGTTGACTGACTTACGTGTGATAAGAAAGCAAGGTACAATCAAATTGACAAAGAAGTACGTTGTCCTTCGTCGTATCTTTAATGTACACGTGACGTCGGAGTATGGCTCAGGACAACATTCATACTTGTCTACATTTCTTTTGCATGGGAAGGACAGTAGATCCCATTCGCCGTTCACTTGTGTCGTTTTGGTGTCTGCAGTTGGACTTTCAGCAACGATATCAACACGCCACGCGTCATACGTCCACGAACCAAACTTAAGGGAGCAAGCCTATTGAAACGAAATTTAAATGCTCTTTCAGGATGATTCGGCAAGACATAACTGTAAAACGTACGTTTAAATCGAATGATTGAGAGGACAGGTATCCTCAGGGTATTATTAGCTTACGGAGGTACATAGAGAGGGTAGAGAGAAAGAAAGTAATAATCGAGCTCCTTAAAGACCTCTACGGGGTAGTTATATAGACCTGAAGTCAGCTATCAGGTCATCCAAACTGAACAAAAATAAAGATCTGGAAGGGGTATTTTCAACGCAGTTTTTCATATTCAAACCTGTAAATCACCAGGATTCACTCATTTCCGCGGCTTGCACGTGTTGTAAAGCCGACCCGCCTCTCTCCTCGTGTTAGTGATCATGATGTGCAATCCATTTAAACCTACCTGCTCATCAAAGGGGAAGTACCGCACGTTAATCTTACAGGAGCTCTGAAGTATTGTTGGTGCCAACCACGTGTTAGTCCCATTGTGATTCACTTTGATCTTGGTTTTCATTCTGTCCTGGGCGCCATCTTTGTCTTCATCGGCGCTTATAACAATAAACAAGAAAAAGAAACATACTTTATTTTGTGTCAACATGAAGGATTCAGAAGAAGTCCATAATCATAAGTATTCACCCTAGACTCCGCCAGTTTGGTACAATATCGCTACGTATGCCATATCATTAACATGATTTTATCGCCAGACGTCAGGCAAATAATTAGGCAAGTAACAGAGAGCATTGGTTGTGGAATATCTTACTTGTTGTATAGGTATATATCAGGTTTCCATAACTTGTCTGCATCGATGTTTATTTCTGTGATGCCACCATAATCACTCACGTTCCAGCGTAGTAATGGATTCACCCAAACCTGGATAAATAATGTTGAGTCAGCTTCTCATCAGGAAATGAATACAACCTTGAAATATCCATCAACTGGAAAACAAATTTATAACATGACATAGTTTACGAATTCTTCCGTTTTAAAACACCTCAGCTCAATACGCTCATGGTGAGTATTAGAATCTCTTTTTTAGGAGAATATCGAAGCTGAAATTAGCAAGGCTAAGGTGGCTGGCAACAGTATCCAGCACTCTTCCTAAAGCTATACAACCGCGGTTAGGTTACCAGAGCAACAGTACAACCGGTTAGGAACACTCTTAATTTTAGCTTTAGGTACTTATGATGAGTTAAGAACTCACCTGTCTGATGAAAAGACTTAATTTTAGAATTTGGTTTCTCTCAACCTGTAGAGAAAAACACTTGTATAAGAAAATCAGAGTACTTTTTGTAACTCAGCATTAATTCTGTGGTAGAATTAGCAGCTCTGATGGTCAGTACAATTTCCCAGTGATGATGACGTCGAACCTGAGACTTGTTATTACAATGACATAAAAACCCGGATAAACAATGAAAGATGGTAAATTTGCAGCTCAGTGAACGAATGATAAAGGTGAAATGTTGCCACAAGCTTGGGACAAATTAAGGAAAAGTCTGAGTCCCCGACAGGATTCGAACCCATGACCTCCCAGATACCCGGCTGGGCGCTCTAACCACGGAGCTACATAGAGTCCTTGGTGAGCGAGGTCGTTTTACTAGGTTCAAGTGTGATACTTTCATTTAATTACATTTCATTTTTGAGGAGTTTTGCTGTAAATTGCCAACCTCGTTCCCGCCTTTTCCCTTGCTTGGGAAAAGACCCTGGGAACGAGGTTGATAAACTGCTAAAAGAATATGAAGTCGCCGTTGCTAAAAGTCTTCCTCAGGTTCTTAACATTTTCCTCCTGCAGGAGTAGTATGACTATCATGGAATAAACTCGCAAGGGAAACTTAAGCTGTAAAAGAAACATTTCTCGCCCGGACAAATGAGGAAACTTGCTTCTTAACCGGGAAGACAAGTTAATTGTCTTTGACCAGAAGGATCACCTTTGTAAACCGTTCAGTTCCGCTGCTGTGTCTGACAAATATCATGATGCCCTATTAAATCTGACATACCACATCTATGATCTGGTTCAACGTGACACCAAACACTACAGTCACGTTGTCTTTAATAGAAAGGACTGGTCGGCGGGACTTGCTGTGCCTAAACAAGTGCTCGGTCAATTTCTCGTCGTAATCGCCATCTGCAGAATTAAAGGACATATTTGAGCAGATATTATATATCTATGGAATTTATTAGTAGTCCAAAATAAATATTTAAAGTGATGAACCCTGCGTTCCTGAATTCCTTTTGTTGTAGTTCTGGCAAGGTGGGGGGGAGGGGGTGGGATTTAAACGAAACTAGTGTTGTCAACCATATTGCTTCCATGGATAGACCGTCTCTCTTTGGGAACAAAATACGTGGATGTGGACATGCCATAGCCCCTATGCATAAATGGCTGCCAATTAAAAATTCTTTTGAAAGTATTAAAATTAGCCCAACTAATCTCGTTTTTGAGTTGATAATTTAAAAGAATTTTTCCTCTCAAACAAGATTAGCTGGACTAATGCATACAAATGAATTTTGAATTGGCAGCCATTTATGAGTAGGGTCTATAGATAGACTAAATGAAATAGAATCCAGTCGACTAGCACTCGGTCCCTTTATGCCACATAAAATCTCGACCTATACTGTAATAGATTTACTAGTTCCCTGAGAAATTGCCAAGGTAAGGAAGATATATTGCATGGGACATATATAGCCGGGATCAAACGCGAACCAAAGTCAATTGAACGAGTATCCATGTTACCTTGAATGGTACCATCGACGTGTGGCATCACCCAGCAACACACAACCAACACAAGACAGAAGGGTCGCATCTCAAACATCAGGCCAACCACGCAAACTCAGACCAGCGCTTCCCTACGAGTTCGGTCGATAATTCCACGATTTCTGGACAGAATTAGAAACCTAGAGAGAATTAGAACACATTTTACTTCTCAAGCGCTAAGTTCTCAGTTTTGGTACAGAGCCTCCAAGGGAATTGAACTTTTTTTTGGATAGGATATCTTTAACCTTCAGATTGAGCGCAACCAAAAACGTTCATCTAATCCTGAGTCGATTATGATGCAAGCAAGTCTCCCTTATTTTTCCGGCCACTCTGCAAAGAAATGATACCTTGCATAAAAAAAGCCTCCTTGTTTTCATAGGTTTCACAGGCTAGTTCGAATTTCTCTGGACCTTTCGATTTCCCCGCTGCGTTAACTATAAAAATCCGGGCTATAACAGAAGAAGGAAAATGTTATGTTATATTGCTCCACTATTATCGACTATTGCACCTCTGTTAAAATGCAGTTTCTAAGCCTGTAAAACTGTTTCTTAGGTCAGCTCTTCTGGATCCTTCAGGTTGCAAAGTTGTAGATGGAACCTTACTGTTCTGATACAGTGTTACGAGGACAAGCTAAGATATAGTACATGTATTTGGAGTCAAAACACTTGACGATCTGCCCAAGAACGTCACACATGCGCTGAGCAAGACGGAAAGGCGACAATACAGATCATATCTTTGGGAGGCCACATTCTCCATTAGAAAAATGACTACACTTCACTAGACTATATCAATGAAGCTTTTACAGAACAAGAAACCTTTTCTCGACCTGACTTTCTGACATCAGAGGAAATGCTGGGTTGGTTTCAACATGGGACATGGTTTTAAACACGGTACATGTTGCATGATTGTTACATTATGCTGTCGTTGTAACAGGGTGAAGCTGTTGCCGTGATAACTGCCTTAATTATCTAAAAATAAAAGTGTTGCTAATCCCGCCAGGAATGATAAGACAGTCTTAACCCAAGTAAGATCTGACCTCGCTGCTGTGTAATAACCGTAACACTGCAGTCATCTCTGCTACATTATACAGATGCTCTTGTCAGTCTTCAAGGAATAATTCTGTTAATAGGATTTCTCTACTGAGCTAGATTACTTTGATTAAACACTTTCTTATGACTGTATAAACAGAGTGATAACACAGGAAGTTCGTGATCGATACAAAGTTTGAATCCTAAATTCTCCAAATAACACGACTGATGCCACGAGTCTTTAAACTCCGATATACACCACCCATAAACCCACAAATTCCAATTCAATTTGGTCATAAGATAAATATACTTTTCTTTTATTTTCATGTCCAGCGAATAAAGAGTTTTGGCTTCACTGAAGCACAAGTCTGTTTAAGCTAGGCACAGAATGACACAATGATTCCTGCAGGAAGCAGAATTATAGAGTGGTTCGTTTCTTTCTCGGGTTGAACTACAACAAGAGGGAAAGGCCTACAACAAGAACCTCCGAGTATTCAGTACTCCAGAGAACATTAAACAAACTCGAGTATGAGGCCTTTTTGTATGTTTAACTCTTTAGTGTGTAATCGTGATGTTCTAGTGAAGTTGACCTCCTGTACAGTCCTGTCTATCTTTTATAGCGCATTTTTAAACCGAACCACGTAGCCTCTCCGATCCAGGCTTAAATTGACCATTAATGTGGATCATTCTAGGAAGGTTCTCTCCAAGCAGCCAAACAATTAGCCTTGAGATAAAGGTGAACAAACTTTATCTTTGTGCAATGGCGTAAGTTAATGCACCCTCATCAGTTGTTCAAGGCCAATTGAAGTTTTGACGTTTTCGAATGCTTCATGAATGGTAAGCCATAACTAAAATAGCTTCATTTTCAAAGAACGCGAAAAGCGAAAGGCACCTGAAAATTGTCTTTGCTAAAATGACTTGTACTATCAAACACGAAAACAGGTACATACCAGCTAGGTTTGCGGTCACCAATGTTTTTGTTGACTTCCAATTCGTGACACTGTACTTTAATCAATGTGAGCATCTATCATAGCCTGCACGGCTTTGAGGCTCGGCTAATCCCTTTTCTTAATTCCGTCAAGCGTTTTGTTTTAGCTTTCAATACTTCGTCCGCTTGAACTGAATGAAGTCCAGTACTTATCCGACACAACTTAACTTGGAGGTCCTCTGAGACGTTTGAGGTTAAAAGGTTGGTTACAGTTTAAATTCCAACTGTGAGGAAATTGATTTATAATTAACACCGGACATGATACGCCATTTTCGTGAAATTCATGTTCCTTCGGAGCCGTTGCATGGTTGTTTCGAGACTCATTAAAATAGACCAAGCATTATAAATCTTTCCTATGAATTGAAAAATGTGTCTCTGTTTTCGTAAAACCCGCGTTTTTACTTTCTTTTCAAGAACAGAGAAGAACCATGATGAAAGAGCGACCGTGATTCTACAAGTGGTTGAACGTCATTGTCTGTGATGTTGATGTTTAATTTCACGCGGACAATGTTGTTATAAAGAAGTCATCCCGCTAATTCTATCGCATATTGTCTCTCCTTGATTCCTTGTCGTTGCAGGACACTTCTTTTCAAAACCGCGGTTGGGGAGCTAGTGAAAGCGGGCGTTTATGTGTTAAATTGTTTGTTTAACATTATCATCTGGTTGTGCTATCACGCTCTGTTGTTGTTTAACTTCGAAAAGAAATGATCACGTTTGAAACAAAAGAACAAAACAAACTAAATTAAAATAAATTTCTCTGATTTTGGGGTTCACTAGTTAAGATTCGATGTGGATTCCTTTTTACAGTTGATACATGTCGTGATTTCGGCAGCAAACTAAATTATAGCACGTGTTCATCATGTTCAATAAGTGGTGCTGACAGACAGCCATAAAAGTTGTTTTTGGCTGCTTGAGCACTGTTCTGTTTTGCCGGCGTATGCTTTTAACACCAGTCGAGGGCTTGATAAGTCGTGACAAACGGGTCATGGACGAGTAAAACGGGTACGATATTATAACTAACCGGTTAGTGAGCTGTTTGTAAATATTTTTGCAAAACACCAGAATTTAGCACCAGGAATATTGACATTAAAACGTCCTGACTAGTTCTCAGTCATGTATCAAGTCAATTATATTTCAACTTGCCGGAACTCATATTTAGCTGAAGTCTTCTAATAATAACTGAGTATTTTTTTCAGTAACGACAAGGACTTCAAATTTAAAATGCTCGAGTTAACGTTTGTTATTTTGTACCAAAAATATGTACAAATACTAAAATAAACTTCGCATATGGCACATCTGGCTATCGCAGCCTTATAGAAGCATTGCAAGCTGCGGTGCTTATTACATGGAAGGTCCAACATTACTGATGCTGTCGCTATCATACATCTGTCATCTAGATGTAAAAAGTCCATCAGTCATAATTAAGAGGCCCAACTCTGCCTGTAACACTTTGATTCTTGTCACGTCTAGTTTGGGGAAAAAGAGTTCGTTGACCACACTGATGAATTTGCCAAATCGCTTCCTTATCACAAGACACCATCAAATACAAAGAACTGAAATTAGCACAGTGTTATTTTTTCCTTTATCAACTTATACTGAGGGTTATCTGGAGATTAAGATAAAACTGGGCTTCTCTTCAAACTTAGAAACAAGTTACGTCGTTTGTAATGGTACCAAGCAGGTCAGAGGAATAAACGAACAGGAAAACAAGCGAATGAACAAACGATTCAACTATTTATAAAATTGAGAGCACTATTCACAAAATTGAGCCTACTAAAGATGAATTGAAATAAGAAGGTGCTGTTCCGTCTATAAATGGGTTAGTAGCCCGGTTCAAACGTCGAACTTTACATGTGCCGAATCTAATAATTAGATTCGGAGCATGTAAAGTACAGTTCGACGTTTGAATCAATTAGGTTCGACAGATTAGTATTTGGGTCGACCTGCCGTTCTATTCGACCAGGCTTGTCGAATAGAACGGTAAAAGATCGACTTCGTTTCAAACGTCGAACTTTAACATGTGCCGAATCTAGTGGGTACATTAATATATAGATTTAGTCCAGCCTAAAGCGTAGCTCCTGGACCGGGTTGTTCAGAGCCCGATTAAGCTAACCCAGGATAAGGTGGAATTTTGATTTGAGTTTTGTAACTTTGTGGTGAGGTTTTCTGTATATTGGCGTTCTGTTTTGAGTTTTAACACAATACAAAAGCAGTGAAAACGGTTAACTTTTAGTCCTGGGTCAACCGCTTTCCAAACAACCCGGCCCTGTTTCAACAAGTTAGCCTGACATGAGCCCGCGATCCAATCGAAAAACAGCACTTGGTCAGCGGT